GAATTTATAATTTTTCAACTTGCCATAAAAAAATCTAAACAAAAAGAAAATACTTTTCATATTTTGATTGTTCTATGAAAATGCTACTGTATTTGAATTTGTCTGATCATTTTAAAATGACAAACTTCTATTTAACAAATTGTTCAGTGGATTCTGCTTTATCATAAGGCCAGCTGGCTCACTGTTAATTATTATTAACATGATGATATATTTCATCACACACACACATCTTTTCTGGTTTTTATTCATTAATGCATGATGTCCTTCCTGGAATGCATTTTCAGTTTATTTAACAGCCCTCTTCAGCCAGCAAGTATATTACATGTATATTAATAGATAATAAAGCAAGGTTCTGTTTGAAAATAGAATCAAAACAACGTGAAATAGTGTAAAGAATTATTCACAAGATGTGAATCTTTAAACCTTAATTCAATTTTAGGCGAGCAAGATATTCCTGGTTTGACTGACACCACAATTCCACGTCGTTCCGGTCCCAAGAGAGCAAGTAAGATAAGAAAACTTTTCAACTTGTCAAAAGAGGATGATGTGCGCCAATATGTAGTGAGAAAACCTCTTCCCCAGAAGGAAGGTAATTTAGACAAAAATATTTTTTATATGTTAATGTAAGAGTTAAAAAATATTTGTTGATGGGTATTGACTAAATTTTCATTATAGGGAAAAAGCCTAGAACAAAGGCTCCAAAGATCCAACGATTGGTTACTCCTATCATGTTGCAGAGAAAGCGTCATCGCTTGGCCTTGAAGCGCAAGAGGGCACAGAAACGTAAAGACCAGGCTGCTGAATACGCTCGGCTGTTGGCCCAACGTGCCAAGGAGGCAAAGGAAAAACGTGCTGAGGAAATAAGGAGGAGACGTTCAGCATCCCAGAGGGAAAGTTCTTCCTCTGCCGGTAGGACTGTCAGTCAAAGTTAATTTGGATTAATGATAAAAAAATACAGTTCTATCAAAAAAATGAAAAATAAATAAATATTCTGAATTTTGCTGTAGTTTTTTATTAACCAAGAAGTGATCAATGAATCGTTATAAAACATACTAAATAAGTTATTTAGCATAAGTATAAGCACTAATGCTTATAAGCATAGCTATAAGCATTAGTACAATTTCAATACTGTACATAAAATATCCAATACAAAATTCTATATGTAGTATTAATACACAATATTCACCAGTAAACAAGCTGTGATAATAAATTTATTGGCTTTATTTAAAATAGTTTGTCATCAGTTTAATAATTGCGTTCACTTACTTGAAAAAATACGAAAAAAGAAATATGCAAATCAGGTTAGCAGGAAGTTGTCACAGCCAGTCAGTGCTAAATTAACCAACTCCCAAGAGCTGAATCCAAGGCACTTTTAATACTAAGAAACACTGCCACCCTCTAAAATACAATCCAAACATACTTTATACTTTTTCTAACGTGTTGAATATATTTTATTTCTTTTTTATAATTTGTTATCACTACTAGACAAAGAAAGACATGGTTTCAGAATACAGTGGTACCTCAGGTTACGAACGCCCCAGCATACGAAATTTTCAGGATACGACATGAAATTCGAACATATTTTTGCTCCACGATACGAACAAAAACTCACCATACGACGTTACATTAGTTCGCATTTTTCATTTGTTTTTCTTACTACAGTTATTTTTTT